TTTACAGCCTGGTACAAAAAACAACAACAACAACAACAACAACAAAAGTTTTGGCCTCTATAGCTAGTTTCCCCCTTTCATGACTGTATGGGTGGATTTTTTTTTAATTCAACTGTTTACATTTTATTAAGGCTGAAAGTTACACATAAGTTAATTGTTAATTGCATTCCAGTACAACATGTCAGAAAACCAAGATGTTATTGGCAATACCAGTTCTAGTCAAGTTAACCATTGTTGACAAAACCAGTTAATGACGACGCATTACACTTTGTTTTACACATAGGCCTACAAACACTGTAGCAACATGCCCAGCAGTAGAAGTTGGACACACAGTCCTGTCCTGGACACACAGTCATACTTAATGAGATAAAAATATGACAAAAGTGCTGATAAACAGTATATTAGTGCTGCTTTTACTACTGTTGATGCACAGAGCAGCCATATTGGATTTTTTGGAGTTGGTGAGGTTCCTCCAACTTTCCTAGTTGGAAATCCAACTTCAGAGGCAATCCAGTCTCACCTTTTTGAAGTTGTCGAAATCTGGCCTGCTGCCATCATAGTATAATAGGGTGTGGCAGCACTGGGGGAAATGTGGCGGGACAAGGACCAATGTTAAGGTGGTGAAAGCCCGAGTGGGGTGGGTGGTAGGGGTGGTGTATGGGTCCAACAACTACTGACTTTAGCCCAGGAGGCCGGTGTTTGCCTCTTGCAAGATTGTAAAGCTAAGCCCTTTTCCTTTCTTCCTAAACCCAACCATGTGTGTTAGTTGCTGAAGAAAAAAAAAAAGTCTATTTGCGGTGATGTACTAACATAGTGCATTTATTTTGAAATGTATGTAAAGGGTAAATTTCCTGAGAAAACAGGAGTGTATTTGCAAAGAAGACAATGCATGTAACAGGCAGAACAACAACCAATGCACCCAGGGTACCTTGCATGTCACCCTTGGACTTGGAGTCCATGACTAAACGTTGATATAAGATAAGATACACCTTTATTGATCCCACAATTGAGAAATTCCAGTGACGAGATTGGAGTGCGAATGTGTTGTCAGGGAGTGTTCCAGTTGGAATTTTTGACTGGGAACTCGGAAATTCCAACCTCAATGTACAAGCAAGCCAACGGGTGATGTCACGGTAGCTATGTTCTTAATTTACAAGAAAATGCACTTAAATACATTGAAAAGCACTAAATTGATGAGTATATAGATTTCTCAGTTTAGTAATTTGAGGGAATCATTTGTACTTTTAGGCTATTGAAATAATTGTTTCATCTAAATGTTTCCCTTTTACTACAACACCAGCATCAGGGAAGGTTTCCAAAAAAGTGAACAACATGAAGTTACAAGAGATTCTCATTTTATAGCTGTTGTGTGATGAACTAAAGTGATTCCTCATTTCCAGGCTGATTACCATGAGTCACAGAACCTCTATCAAGAGCCTTTAATGAGCAGGAGGGGCATTAAATCTGGTGAGCACACACTGGATGATATTATATCAACCTTAAAATCAAGTTAACGGATGAATCAGTGCTCACGTGGGATCTACAAGGTATACATGTAATGGCAGCAGCCCAGCAGCAGTAGATGCATAACTGTGGCAGCTGCCCTGGGGGGCAACTGATAATACTCAATCTAACTGACCTCATTAAGGGACCCTTGTTTTTTTACCTTCTCCATCTCAGCCAAGATCTCTGCAGCCCGTCACTGCTTTCATCAGAGGTGATGAAAAAGCACAAGTCTAATCATTTCTTTTTCCACACGCCACGGCCATAGAGTGTGCGCGCACATGGATGCAGGCAGAGATTATTAACAGTTTAATGGATAACAAATCCTGACAGGTGGTCCTCTCGCTGAGATTAAGGACCGGTGGGTTAATGACGGTGCGGGTGAGATTGTCATAACTCACAATAAGGCCATTAAAGTGATATTACTGAGAAAGACTTAAGCTGATATGGGCTCAACTCTCCAACAAGGTGGCATTGGGCGGAGGGCTTTACCATTTTTCAAAGAGTTTTTTTTTCTTCTCTCGCCTGCAGCTCAGTATAAATGGGATTCAACTCAAGAAGAATCTTAGCAAGACACAAGTGATGAGACAAAGGAAGACACTGTAATCTCCTGCTGCTGTTTTCACTCATAAAACACTGGTGTAAGGATTCAGATAAACTTTCAATGCATGCAACATCTATTATCAAATATTTAGTTACAGATTGGTATTGCTGTTATTTAGAAAATTAACTGCTGATTGGCTTTGAAATGTTACCAAAATTTATCACTGTACTGACACTATCTGAAGGTGGTGTTGACAAATAAACAAAAAGAACAATGCAACACTTTATTAGAGTTTTTACTCCTTTTCTTTCCCTTCCTCCTGGACAAAGAAGAGCACATTCCTCCACTGGCAGAAGCTCCTCAAAAGTTGAAGGTCCAGGACAACAATGAAGAGGGGCCTCTGGCAGCCACCTCTGCAGTTCACTACTCCCCTCTGGTGGTCAGCAGGGGCCACTGCAGTGTTCAGGGGCCAGAGGAACAAAGGATGGAGAGATGAACAATAGAGTCAACAGCAGAAAGCAGCAACAGAGCCAAAGTGGGTGCTGTTGCAGTGCTTTATTTCTTTTCCTTTTTATAAACATACTTTATATCTATAGAAATATAGTTTGAATGTTCTGTTTTATCCTTCAACACTTCAGTCTACATTTCTTATTCCTTTAACTCTGTAAAACAATAGACACTCAGGTGGTACGATGATTGTGATCAAACTCCAAGCTCACACATTCAAGCTGGCTGATCCAGCACAACATATCCTCATGAGTTGGTTGAAGAGGCTCTCCACAAATTACTTTTTCACGGCCAAATTGTTTTAAATGAGAATCCTGTAAAGAGGTCTTAAAGTGTGTAGGATTTAGGGGGATATATTGTCAGGAATGGAATTTGGAATAATAAGTATGTTTACTTTAGTGTATAATCACTAGAAAATAAGAATCCTATTTCTGTTACCTCAGAATGAGCCGTTAATATATAGGGAGAATGAGCCGTTAATATATAGGGAGCAGATCATCTACTGAGATTGCCATGTTCCACGCCCATGTTTCCACAGTAACCCAGAACGGACAAAGCAAACACTGACTCCAGATAGGGACATTCGTGTTTCATGTCGGCCAACCTAGTTAGCAGCCCTGCTGTGGCAAGAGCATCAGAGAAACGCTGATTTTTAATGTGACACTGCTTTATTCATTTTTTTTTCTGGTTTAAATCACCTGATGTGTTTGTTTTGGAAAGGAAGAGATGTCTGCAGATAATTTAGTTCCCTCCTTAACAATAAACACCGAAGGAATTCTAACCACAAGAAGTTTCGACTAGCTGCAATCTGCAGTCCTCACCACTAGATGCCTAGGCAAAACAATTAGCGAGACAAAAAACTGTCAGGATGCAGACTGATATATCTAGCACACATGCAACCCGAGCGAATAAATGTTGGCATTGTATGTTTCTGCGAACTACAGATATGTTGCATTTGTATGTTTCATATGTTAAATTTGTACATTTCATATGTAGCATATATGTTGAAATTTTATGTTTCTTTCAACTGTCAATTTTATGTTGTGACAGTGCTGTGGTTTAAGTGTGGTTAGGTGTAAGCACAAAAAACACTTGGTTAGGGTTAGGAAAACATCATGTTTTGGCAAAAAATTCATGGTTGTGTCACCACAAACCACATGGCAAGCTCTGGGGGCTGAAAAAATGACGCCAAAGTGGAAATGCAGAAAACTGCAGTTCCTTGGACGGCAACTTGAGGCTGGCTCCAAGACTGAATCAATCCCATACCCATTCTAAAATGGCAAACTTTAGAGCAGAAATAAACATGTTTACAGCCTGGTACAAAAAAGGTTTTGGTCTCTGTAGCTAAATCCCCCCCTTTGGACAAATGTATGGTAATTATTTAAAATAACGAATCCGTTTACATTTAATTAAGATTTAAAGTTTCAAATAATTAAGGGCGGGGCCGCTTGAGTGACAGGCTGTCTGCAAGGCGTCACTACAGTCTATGAGTCAGATCAGTCCCTCGCTCTTCCACAGTTCCAGCCTCTCGTCCAAATATGGCCACATCTGGCTCCAAAAAATCAAGATGGCGATGGCCAAAATGCCGAACGGGGTGATGTCACTGTGGCTATATCCATTAATTTTACAGTCTATGCCTCAGACACAGTCACTGTCACTGGTTTTGAACAGCAGTCTGCTGCTTGGCTGCCGTCCTGCCTATGTGTCACACGATCCACCAACCCCTCTTCCTCCTGATGAGAAACTCAGCTCATATACCTGTAATCAGAACTATGTCCCTTAAGAAATGTTGATATAATAAGTATGAAAGGTACAAATGTAACAAATTTGTTGTTTGCAGAGACATACAATGCCAACATTTTGTTCTGGTGACTGGGCTGTGGGAAATGTTGGCTGGGGTTGTTGCAGTGTAAAATTCCCCAAATCTAATACAGAGCACGACAGAGCTGCTGACTTTATATGAAACTCGTATAGCTTGTATATCCACCCATACAGTGGAGAAATACGACACAGTGGACGTGCTAGTTGTGAACAATCGTGCTGTGCCTCTTGTATTTATGGTTGCTAAGATAACTCCTGCTCAGGAGACAGGTTTAAATTCAAGACACATTTAATGGAACATTGAGGGTTCAAAACAATGATTCTTTTTCCAGTGATTTTCTATGGGAGTCAGAGAGACTAAATGTGAGATGGTTTGTGAGAGAACAACTTGAACAGCTACACTTGTTTCATACAATATAACACTATTGTAGTGAATGACAAACAAACACAACAGACTCAGCCAAAGAAGTTATGACCACGTCTTTACCAATATTGTGCAACATAATACGTTATGACTCTACGGTCTCATGTTTGGATAATTATCGATAATTATATGTTTGGATCTTTTCAGAGTCTGACAGGTCTACAGCAGAGAAACTCTACACGTCCATCTTTTCACACATCAAATCCCTGAGAAGGGGATCCTGTGCTGTGAATCTGTGTCATTGTGTACCTGCAGGGGTCAGAGCTGCCACTTGAGCCCGTACCTGAACAACATCCCCCTGCTGTCACCTGTGTCGTCCGGGACCACACCCAGTCCTACGCTCACTCCACCAGCAAGCCTGAGGAGAGACGCTCATCAGATTTCTGAGATCAGATTCTTTCTGCTGCGTGGATATACTCACTGTACTGATATAATTACAGTCCTCTTTGCACTCACGTCGGCTCCCCTGGAAACACCTGAGCCAGAGGAACAGAAAACTCCTGTACCTTTTTATTTTTAATTTGTTTTAAAGTGCTTTGTGGCCTCTTTTTTTTTTTAGGTCAGTTTTACCTTCCGAAACCTGGGACTGTTAAACAGGTTTAAACCTGCTCCTCTCTGGATATAAATAATATTAGCACACGAAAGGGTAAGATTTGTATTTTTGGTGCCTTAATGTCTCAACCTAATGTAAACACATCACATTTTCCTTTCCTTTAATATGGCTTTCCTTCGCCCATAGATCTGCCATTAACAGATATCTTTACCGTTCTTCACAGCTGTGTGTGTTATCATTAAGAGTCATTGTCAGTGATGTAATTTTCACAGTAATTTCACTGGGATGTGGACTGGATGTAATAACGCGGCATGCATGTGAAGATTGGCCATGTAGACTGTGTGTATGTGTGTGTGTGTGTGTGTGGATGAGAGATAGAAGGTGTGGGCTGATGAAAGAAGAAATGCAATAATTTATCTTCTCCTTTTATTACAGATTAAAATGGGCTGCTTCACATTCGTCAAATTGATGATGGTCTTGTTCAACTTGCTTATCTTTGTGAGTATGTTTCTGCTTTGATTGCATATACGAGGAGGAGGCTGGGGATGTGGTGTGTGTGTGTGTGTGTGTGTGTGTGTGGGGGGGGGGGGTCTGTTCATTGATTGTGTTAAAGCTTAACATGAAAAGTCATGTGTAAAGTAAAGAAAACAAACAATAGCTTTCAACATGATGCGCAGAAAATCATTACATGCCGTCCTTCAATGCAAACAGACATTACATAAACATTTCAGATCACTGAGCCAGGAGGCCTAAATGATGCTTCTTTCTCCTCCACTTTCTCTCCACCGTAGCAATTTTCATCTCATTAACTTCACAGGCTCTAATGTTGCTACCTACATCTTCGGCTTAATGTTGATAACTAATGTGGTTTGTGAAATGGAGAGAAACTTTGGCAAGGGTAAGCCGAATTTGCCTGCCGAGTCGGGACCACCTGGGCTCCCACTGTCACAGATGAAGCTCCCTGTGCAAATCATCATTTTCCTCACATTTCTCATTTCTGCCTGAGTTACGCTGCTTGATGAATCTGGTGCGGCAGCACTTAAAGTCACAGCAGCACCCTGATTATGATGTCTCTTTGAAATGTTAGCCATCAGAGCAGAGTGATAAAATGATTCTCTTCTGCTCATAAAGATGAGGCTTTAACAGGACTGCTCAAACACTTCAGCTGCATTTCAAGTTCGACACTGAAACATTATTGTGTCCTCAGCTGAGGAGTCCTCTCCAGTTGAGATCCGCAGTCAGAGAATTTATCTTTCGAGGAGATGAGGGGCAGGATTTACATAAGAATCAATATTCTTCTGTGAATCTGAATCAGTTCATAAATTCTAAAACTTGGCACTTTAACAATAATAATGTTACAGCTTCCCAATAGCTGAACATGCTGTGCCCACACATCAGAAAAAAAGTCACTTGTGCAGTGAAGTGTAGTTTCTAGCTGTGATGCTTGGAGGGAGGATATATTCAAACAGAGCAGTCTTCAAAAGGTATTTTAGGTTGGAACACTTTCCTGGTGTGTCAAATTTACCTTTTTGTCCAAAACCAATCATTTACCCTCCAACCAGTCACATTTGCAGGAATTAACACCAAACCTCCAACCACAGTTGGCATCCCGATGGCAAAAAATATTTGAAAGTGAAAGAGAATTTACCACAAGAGCAGAGAGTTTACTTATGTCAAGAGTTCACTGTCACAGCCCATTTCAAGAATGGAAAGAGAGGATACCACACGCAAGTTGCGCCTGAAACTAAAAGAGTATGCCAACTAAGGTAGAACTAACTTAACAGGTGGAAGCCAGGGGAAGGAGACATGTTTGTGTAGCAATGCAGTCAGACCTTTGACTACAGCTACAGGCTGCTGCAGTGCTGGAAACCACTTTACGCTGTGTGATTTTGGGCTGTCTCTTGTGGGAAAAAAAAACAAGTTGAAATCCATCCATCCATCTTCCATCCGCTTCATCCTCTTGAGGGCAGCGGGGGGGCTGGAGCCTATCCCAGCTGACATCGGGCAAGAGGCAGGGTACACCCTGGACAGGTCGCCAGACTATCGCAGGGCTGACACATAGAGACAAACAAACAATCACACTCACAATCACACCTAAAGACAATTTAGAGTTAACAATTAACCTAGTCCCCAATCTGCATGTCTTTGGACTGTGGGAGGAAGCCGGAGTGCCCGGAGAGAGCCCACGCTGAGAACATGCAAACTCCACACAGAGGGGGTCCCACACCTGGGATCAAACCTGGAACCCTCTTACTGTGAGGCGACAGTGCTAACCACCACACCACCGTGCCGCCAGAGTTGAAATCTTTACTTTTAAATCAGAAGTGGTAGTCTGAGATCTAACAATGAGCCACATCCACTGACAGTCGACCAAAAAGTGCTTGACCATGCAGCTGCATTAAGATTCCAAAAATTAGGACCAAATTCTAAGAATCTGAATGCTGCTACACAGTGGCGCTGCCAAGAGGTGGCCAAGGGGGCCTCGGCCAGCCTGATACAAGACTGCAATCACATGGCCAATCTGCTGACAGGAGAAAAGAAGGAAGTAGTTGTTCAGATGTGGGTTTTAAAGCATGGCAAGATGCTGATATTTCTAAAATACAAGATCTCTTTTCAGATGGGACTCTTAAATCTTTTTCACAACTTAGAGTTGAATTCAGTCTCCCTCAAACACAGTTTTTTTTCTGCTATTTACAGTTTAGGAGTTATATCCAATCCATACCAATATATAAAAGTGGTTTGAACATTAATCAGTCTGAAAGCATCCTACTGAAACCTTCTTCTTTAAAGAAGAAAATTCTTAGTTATATTTATGATCAAATGTTTGGTTAAAATCCCTACTATCAACAGTAAAATATGTTGGAGTGAAGATTTTGGGTCCAATGTGGATGATGAAAAATGGAGAAAAAATGTTGTAAAATGCAAAGAAAATTACATGTTCTAAAAAATCCTATGAGACCCAGTATAAGATCATTCACAGTTTGCTTGGAACCCCAGCTGTCCAATGTAAATATGATCCTTTGTGTTCATCACCATGTCAAAAATGTAAAAATAGCTGTAGCATCTCATGTGGTCATGCCCTAAAACTGTCAATTTCTGGCTGTAAATCCAAAAAGAGATTAAGAAAATATTTGGGATTGATATACCTCTAAATCCATTTCAGTTAGTACTAGGGTTAGATTCCAGCTATGAACGTAGGTACAGATACATTTGTAGAATAGCTTTGTTTGCTGCAGCCATTATAGTTTCATAAAAAATGGTTGGATGAAGAGCCCCCTGACATTACAATGTGGTATGTAAAACTTATGTCCATCTTGTCATTGGAGAGATTATCACATGTGCTCTGGAGATTTTTGAAAGAGACTGGGCATCAGTATTGCTGATTTGTTGTTTGTTTGTCTGTTTGTCTGTTTATACATACATACATACGTTTATATACTGAGTAAAACAAAGAAAGAAGGAAGTAGTATAAAGAGCGAAAGTAAGGAGGGGGATTGGGGTGATGGATGGGTCAAACAAATACAGGACTTTCCCTCAGGACACAGGTGTTTGGAATCGTGTGAAGCAAAGTGAACTTTGAGTCATTCCATGTTTCTTTTCCTGAACCTAACCTATGTAACTTTACTTGCCTAAACCTAAAGACGCCCATCTATGTTTCTTTTTCTACACCTAAACTACATAACTTTATGATAGGTACGCAACCTGATTCAAGGGGTGCTAGTTTGTTAGATATCATACAAACCATTGTGTAAGGAAAATTAAAGCTGTATATTTGTCTTTTTAAAGAAAAGGGCAATATTGGAAGAACAATGAATCAATTAATATACAGATACATTACACAATAAAAACAGATTGTTGTGGAGCTCAAAATGTTAACTATCAGTACTGGCCTACGCACATCTGATAATTAGTAACAATAATTGTTAAATAAGAAACCAAAGTATATCAGTATGTGTTTCCTTAACTCTTCATACTGAAATCGTTTTCAATTAGCATACTTTAACAGCAGAATAGACTTCCTGAAATTCAGTTATTGTTTTTGGATTTGGTGTGTCAGCCCAAGATTTTCCATCTAGCCGCCCCTTTGAAAAATTTCTGCACCACAACCTTTGTCCACAAACCCACCATTTAGACTACCACATGAAATGAAACAAAGTAGAGCGATGTGCTTCTAAGTGAACTTGTAAGATTGTTATTGCACAGACGATGTCTTTGTCATTGTCTGAGTGAAATACTGGAAAATACAGCCAAAGAGGGTCCTGATTTTCCCAGGTTTTATCTGCAGAAGTTAAGGAAGCTGTAGTCATTTAAAACATGCACTGGCACTGTTACCAAGAATCAAATTTCAGTACCCTGATTCTAAATTTCTTATTTTTTATAAATATGTGAATATAAAACTAAACAAACCTATCAGAGACTAGACAGCAATAATAATATACAAGTTTGCCAAAAGATACCCAGTGATTTTAGTCTCTCCTCTCTCGTTGCCTTGGAACCGATCTAAATGAATTGGAAATTAGATGTGTCTCTGTGTGTGCTCTGTGTATGCATTTCCTCGGCCGAGCGTCGGAACTCTCAGATTGTCTCCTCCCGATAATATGACCCATGAAAATGGGTTTTAAACTCAACTGACGTCTTTCTCATTTCAGCCCTTTCAAAGAGAACCAATTCCGTTTCAATTGGGGTGGGACGGGCCCGTTCTCTTTTCTGCTCCCTCTGTATCCTTCTATCTCTTTTCTCCATTCACCTCCCCCTCTCTGGAGGCCGTGGCCTCCTATTCTGCAGCCTGTTATTCATTCCCTCTCTTCTAACCCTAATAGGTTATATTTCCTATCTCCATAGACATGATGCTGCTCCCCCCCCCCAAACCTGCTCTTTAAAAAACCTGATTTCTTTCTGGTCCTTTTGCCATGTGGGTGTTCAACTGACAGGGCATCCACCTGCATATGGCACACTATCAAAGGGATTAGCCGTCTTAAAAAAGAAAGACATCGTGCCAGCTATAATTATACCTGGTGAGGGATGATGGTGGCACACATGGAGTTAGAGGGGGAATATGCTTGTCGTTTCACATTTAACCAACAGTGCAATGATGGCACTGAACAGGTTCAAGAGATGAGAAAAGAAACCCCGGAGTGAAAGGTGGGGAGAGGCAGAGAGACTGAAGGAGAGTAAAAAATAGATAGGAAGAGCAAGGCCAAGGTAGGGAGACAAAGAAAAAAAGGGGGAGATGATCCCCACGTGGGAGACGTCAGTGTCTGACAGGAGATGTGGAGTGTCGGGGCCTGAAGGGGAGCAGAGCGGGCCCCCTGATTGCAACGAGCCTGATGGAGCCTGACAGACTAGATCAGGTTTCAAACATGGTTTCTCCAGAGGACGAGGAAAGAAGGAGAAATCACTCAGTACGAGGAGTGCAGGGTGAAATACACCGAGGAGATGGAGGAGGATAAAAGGGCGGAAGAGAAAAGGAAGAGAAGGTCAGAGGTGGAGAGATGAGGAGGGAGACAGAGATAATGACAGTGGGATCAGGTGATTTCCAGACTGTAATGTGAAACATGGGACATAGTTCTGATTTTGTTTGTTATGAGCAGGTTATACAGGTTTTGAGTCAATAGATTTCTATGAATGCATTTCAGGATCTCCTAATGAAATATCTGTACCTTTTTAATGTTCATGGTCAGAGATTACAAAGCAAGTTTAATTACTGTAAATTCTCAGATTGCTGCCTTTATAAATCTTAACTGCAGGTTATATTAGAGACATACCTTTATTCATATGGTTTAAATTAACATAATTCCTATTTTTATATTTGATCATATTCAAAGAAGATTCCCTTTAAAAAAAAAAATCTGATCCCATTTTGATTTTCTTTTCATGCAAACTTAAAGTGTCGCCCACCTTTATCTGTGTTCTTGATAATATTCAGATAATCTACAGTGCATTTTCACAGCACTAATTCAACCAATACTGTGAATGAAACCCAATATTTTCTGCACAAATATTTCCCATTAAAAGCTATCCAGTGGTTCAAAAGGCTGTCCTTTCCTGGAAGGCTTTAAACTTGTGATTGTCTCCTCAATGAACTCTGGCCGTTACCAATGACGTGCCGATATTATTGTGCATCCCTATCACTGATAATGTCTTTCGTCAACCCACACACAGCCTAGCCGCACGTCTGTGTATGCAGGGTGTGAACCCACCAATGTAGGCGTTTCCCACTATCTGAATAATGCCCACTTTAAATAGCAGGGATACTGCACCAATCTGACTTTAGACCAGGTTTTTGTTGGTCAATGGTGCAGTCGCTTTGCCTCAAAATTGCCAACAGTGCACCTGACCTACACACCAATGGGTGCACAGATGGGCACAAGTACATTTGCTTCTCAGACAATGTGAGGGCTGGCCATGAAAATGACAACTGCATCAGTCTGAAACTAGCAATGACGGTTGGGCTGTGCTGTGTGCACTTTGACCCTGCTGTAAGTTATGGCCCATGGAGTTGATTGGTGGTTAAACTTTATTGGAAATATCAATCGATCAAGGGTCCTGTATTTTTTTTTTTTATTATTATTATTATTTTTTTTTTTTAAATCTGCACCATGTTGTGACTACTGGATTAAGCTGTACAAGGTAAGCATAGACATTATTTATTTTGGCCCTGCAGGAATATAGTGTGCATTAAATATAATGCAAATTGGTATTTTTTATGCATCTCATTCAATTTTAACAACTTCTTTTTGGTTTCAAGAATTTATGTGTATCAGGATTCTCTGGGATGTGGCTCTAATCATAGTCTACTTGTTGTCAGGTGTGTTGTTCTCTGTATTTCTAACTGACAAGACCAAAACATTCAGTGGAAAGAACGCTCTAGGGATGACGTTTTTCTGTGGGCTGACGCAGAAGTTAACGTGTCCAGGTTCCCTCATCAAAAAGCCCTCTGTAGCAAACAAATGTTTAGGAGACTTATATATTTTGATTAGTAAGATGATCTCCACAAATGAACACGACTTTTTTTGATTTTTGAAGCCCATATGCAATCTTCAGAGGTAAAACACTAACATTAGGCTATAAAAGAACTACACTACAGTTGCATGACTTAACGTCATCCCCACAGTAGGGTTGTAAAGCCGTGTTAGGTGTGATGATGTTCTGTAGTAACCACTTTTTGACACATAGACACATAAAAGCTTCAAAATTCACAAGCAGGGTATTAACAGACATATTCTGTGTCTTTGAACAAAATTTAAAAGTCTATCAAACTTGTGTTAACCACAGACTTTAATTCAGGCATTTAACCAAAAACCCATTCAAGAAATCTTTGGACCCCAGGAGTGGGGAACCAGGAGTGCAAAAATGCGAAGTCATTTCCAGGTTTTAGGACTCATTTCCAGGGTACTCTTTACTAGTAGAAATACTGGTTACAAATGGGGAGTCTAGACTCATTACCTTCCTGACTAGCCAAATTCAGTTGCAGAGCTGAAAAAGGAAACATTCCTGTGTCCTTAGAGGACAGTCAACATCTTCCCCCTTGACTGTCCATGCTATAATCCCATAACCTACTTCTGTCCACACCAAGGCTGGCATTGTCCAGCAGCACAAAACGATCACTAAATGGATTTCCATTATGTCTGTGTGACATGAGTGGGGAGATAAAGGCAGTCATGGAAAAGGGCAGTCATTTTATTCAGAAAGGTAAAATGAGGCCAAGTTAGCTCTCAGGCCTTGAAACATAATGGGAGGCCTGAGGCAGCACCTCTCTGACTCACAAAGGGAATCCACCTCTCTGAATGGAGTCAATGATATTAAGGTGTCATAGTGTCACTAAGATGTAATAGTAAGAGATTAGGTTTAGTGATGTAAGATATGCTCTCATTTCCAAAAACCTATTACACACTGAAGAGCTGTTGAACCCACCTGAATAACTGCCAGGCAAACAAATGATTGACATTTTACTTGCTTGTGTTAAGTGTGGATTACATCCTCTGGAGAGCTAACTGCTTAGTGTCCCACTTTCATAAAGGACAGGGATTTGTGTACATGCACTTACATAGTTCTTTGCATGAATGTATGCTGATGATGTTTCCTGGATTCTCCCTGCAGCTGGGTGGGCTGACCCTGCTGGCCATGGGGATCTGGGTGAGTGTAGATGGGGGCTCCTTCCTCCAGCTGCTGGGGCCATTCTCCGGTCAAGGCATGCAGTTTGTCAACGTGGGATTTTTCTGCATTGCAATCGGGGCCGTGCTGGTGCTGCTGGGGCTCCTGGGCTGCTGTGGAGCCCACAAGGAGAGCAAGTGTCTGCTGCTCACGGTAGGTGTAAAAGACCTGGTTTAGAAAGTGTCAGCACTAGTGCACAGGCAAGCTGAAGGCATAGTGGAAGTTTAAGAGATAAGATAAGATACACCTTTATTGATCCCACAACTGAGAAATTCCAGTGATTCCAAGATTTCAAAATTTAAAAACTTAAGAAACTTAACTTTACTTCACCAATGTGCCCAATGTACAAGGAAAGCACTATAATTTAATTCCTGCCTAGTCAAAAAAGCTGACACCTGGATGCTAACATTTTGTCATACTTAGGTCTTCCTGCTAGTCTTGGAAAGATTGTTAGAGCAGGTTGTATAGTTCTGAAAACTCTGAAACAAAGGCAATTATCTTTTCCTCCAATCGCTTTCAGATAATGTCACAACTGTCGTCTCATTGGTTCAACAAAGGTCACAACAAATATTGTTTAAACCAACTGAACTTTGAGTGCTGTGCCATGCCGTTGTTCCTACAGCCCATGATTCCAAAATTCATAGCCCAAATAATGTCAAATTGGACCCAAAGCCCATATGTCTGACAGCCTGTTATCCCAAAAACAAAAACCCATTGCTCTGAAGGCCCACTGCTCTGAACATACACACTCTCTAAACAGTTAGATTCGTGGCCTGTAATCAGTTGGCCCTGCATCCTGATGTTTCACACCCTTTTTCCCCCAACTGATCGGAAGCATATGTGTATATGACTGTCAGAATTAACATCTGCAATGTGAGGCAGGTTGCTCACAGTGACAAATCCACTGAGGATTATCACCCACACACATATTCTGTCGGGGTTATGCCCTGTACATACTCCGCAAGAACAGAGAAATTTGTTATTTTTCTTGAGGTGGCAAGAACAAGAACAAAGTTCCTTCTGCCAGAACATTTCATACTTCACGAGAAAATCAACTCCACAACTCCTGGGAAGTCCTCATAGGCCCCTCCCTCAGTCATCCACTTGTGGGGTAACTTGCTCCACATTTTGTATGTAACCCATCCTTGCGTTTAAACCTGGCTTACCAACAGTTCACATAATATCCACATCCGCCCCTCCTGTCTCATTCATACCCACAACAACACCAACCCCCGAACAGCGTACATTATGCTCATTACCGACGCGGCTAACTACCTCTTAGTCCACTGCAGTGAGTCTAATGAGGAGCACAGGCAGCACACGTTCCCCTGGAGAGCCCCCATCATGTCTACATCTCCCATTGAGTTGAATGATGACGGTGCAGCAGATTCTGCGACTGACAGCGCAGGACGCAGCGCATATCTGGCTGGTGTGAGAAACAGCTGTAATGGTCTGAATGAAAACAATGGATGAGCTGATAGGACGAATCATTCAGACTCTGTCGCTCCTTATTGTCCCTCTGTGTAATCAGCCAAGCTTTATTGACAGTCTGTGATTGTTACATACAACAATAGCTGTTTAACAGGACCCTGGATATTCAGTTTGATGTTTATTGTTATTTATTTATGTATTCTGTTTTTTTAACGAATTTCGGGATTTGAGAAAGGCTCAATACCACTGCAGTATTCATTGAAAACACCAATCGTCATCAGAGAAAGTGTAAACAAAAGGGAATCTCACAGCTAATAATGACATTTTCATGCAAATATAAACAAACATCATTGCAGCCTAAGACTTGGTTTTGGAAAACTGCTTGACAGAAGAAATATTTTTACATAATGAAATACCCCAAAACTTTCTTGTTGTCTTCTCTTCTTCCCTATCTGCAGTTCTTCTCCATCATCCTCATCATATTCATTGCTGAAGTGGCAGCTGGAGTCGTGGCTCTGGCCTACTCTTCATTTGTAAGTCCCCCCTCTTCACCTCTTCCTCTTTCTTCTCATTCACTGCCTCATCACATCCCCTCCCTGCTCCCACCCCTCTTTCCCCTCCTCTCCACTCCCCTTCCTTTGTCTCTTAATTCGTCTCGTCCCTCTCAGTCTTTCTCTTTCACCCTCTCACCTCCTCGTCCCACTCTGGATTTTATCTCCATGTAAATTCTCCATCATAGCCGCAGCCATCATTGAATTACTGGCTTTATGTCCGCCTCACTACATTCGGCTACTTAATGACTCCAGGATAGCCCCGGGCCGTGTGCGCCGTCTCTAACTTTGAGCAATTTATTACTCCGGAATATTGAAGCTAAAGCATTTTATATGCAAAACAGCCTATTTACATATGTGTCCCTCTCTCTCACACACACACATGCACACACACGTGCTCCATTTACATTTAGTGCCACGTATAATAATTACAAGGGTTTCAAATGAGCTATGTAAAAGGAGGTTAGTGAAGATTGGGATCCTATTAAAGAAAATAGAGAGTGGAGTTTTTTTTATCCAATCAGAGGATGTATCCGAGTCCCCAGGAGCAAAAGAGGTAATCTAACAAACATCCATCTGCAGGGAGGAGCTGATGAGCAGAGGACAGTGGACTCTGCACTGCCTGGAAATTTCACTTGTTTGTGTTGGTATTGTTGCTAAACCAGGTGGAGCAGCAGCTGAAAGGAATCTTAGTTTCATGCATTTTGAATGGCTTAGGGTCATGTCCATGGATGTATAAAGAGAACTGGATCCAGCTTTCAATGGGAGGGGGGGGTGTTTATTCCCATGAAAGTTGCTCAGTGGCACATGAAGCCAAAAAAAAAAAAAAGTTCAATTTCCAGATAAAAAATGACCTGGATCTTCCACATCTATGGACCCACAGAGCAATGCACTAATGATTCTTTTACAACCCCTTCCAACTGCTTGATCTCAGACTTGCTCACAGGAGTGGCAATGGGGAAATAACTCTGGATTCAGCTAGTAGAGAATTTTACAAGTTGTGTCTCTTTCACAGTGTAGGTCTACAGGGAAAACTCCTTTGGGGCTTGATGGCCTCATGTATGATGTTATGGCCAATATGTCAAACTGGCTTTGAAGCCCGGTGCTGTTGCTGGAGGATTGATTATATCCGGTGCACAGTGAAACAATATGAGTAAATGCACATGTAAGTTGTTTTGAAAGGCAACTACAAATAGAAATGTTGTTGTTTCATTTGCAAGAATTCTCTTTTTCGTAGAGATCTATCCAATCTAATCCAACTTTATTTGTAAAGCACTTTAAAACAACCACAGAGTACGAAAGTGCTGTACAGAAGAATAAATAAAAGACAATAAGTAAAAGACAAAACAGCTCGCACAAGGCATAAAATACAAGTAAAATAAATTAAGAGACATAAAACATTTGTAAAAAATAACAGCTATACAATAAAAACAAACAATAAAATAAAATAAAACAAACAATAACACAAAATAAAATCAATGTCTTACAGGGTGTCAAAGGTCAGGGAGAAGAGATGGGTTTTAAGAAGAGATTTAAAAATAGACAGAGAAGATGCCTGTCTAATGTGCAGAGGCAGATCGTTCCACATTTTAGGAGCTGCCAGAGCGAAAGCACGGTCCCCTCTGAGCTTGCGCTTAGTTTTTAGCACACTCAGGAGCAGCTGATCAGCTGACCTGAGAGAGCGGGTAGGTGAATACGTATGCAGCAGCTCAGAGAGGTAGGGCGGGGCAAGACCATTTAGGGATTTAAAAGCAAATAAAAGAATTTTAAAATGAATCCTAAAGTGTATGGGCAGCCAGTGGAGTGAGGCTAAAATGGGGGAAATGTGGTCATGTATAGTTTTATCTAGTGGGTGGTGTGTGTATTTAGTGGCATCTAGTGGTGAGTTTTCAGAACTGAAACTTCTGCCGTGTGCAAAGCATGTAGGAGAACTCCGGGGACCAATGCAAAAACACAAAAATGAGAGTGGTGGTTAGTTTGTCTGTTCTGGACTACTGTAACAACAACATGGCGGACTCCATGGGAGAGGATCCAAATGTCTGGACTTCACCGCACTCGCAGACTTTGTAGGCATGTTCCCGCGAAGTCTGGGCGTGCTGAGTGCTGTCGAAATCCACAATTCAACCAGTCCACAAGGGGCCTCAGGTGGACTTTCTGCAGACTTCCAGCGAATCTGCTTGGGCTGCAGACTTTCGCAGACTTCACAACCCACAATTCATTGCAATACGGACATTACGTCGTTTTTTCCAATTGCCGAAAGAAAAACAAAAAACGTTTGAATGTGTGAAGCACGTTTTGATAGTAAGGCCTTTTAAAATACTATTTGGATTGTGCAGGTCAAAAATAACATTCAGCCACATCATGATATAGGAATAGGTATAAGTACAGGCTGTATAGGGAAAGAAGAAGCATTTCAGGCTGCACAGTGTAATGGGCTAAAAACATTGGATGAAAAACAGCAAAAGAAGGTCTTCTAATGTCAGTAATCCCAATTTACTGACTTATAGTCCTGTCCTTATTTGCAAACATTTTTGTTTTTGAAAGCTTGTAGCGTGTAATCATTTAGACATGTAATAATGGCCTACATTTTTGTTAAGTCACAAAAAAGGCTATACATGGAAATCATACCTTGTTATCTGCAGGAACAGATGAGTAGGCACTGTTCATCAACTTAAATGACACATATATAAATATGACAGCAGCGATAATTGAACATTTCCACTGCAATGAGTTAAAAACTCTTGAGGGCTGTCTATCAGCTGCTTGCAGTCTCAGACATTATGGGATGGCGGTAAATACATCACACTACATACAACTTAAGTCCAATATGGCTCAGTCCCCAAGTCCAGAGGGTGGACAGCCATAAATGAGGTATTCTAAGGTAATGAAAATGCAATGACTCTTATTTTCAGATGATTATTAACTAATGAAAACATAGTTATGAATATTATATACCATTTCTGCCGACAGACGCCCCTAAAGTCTACACACTGGACCTTATAAACGAGCAAAGGAGCTTATCATCAGTTTTTTAATTAATATGATCTCGCTTTTAATCCCGCTCTTGTGCAGCGGATGTTGTTTTGCTCAGTGCAGGATTCTTGGAGGCAGTGGAGGTGGGTCTGTGGAAGCAAACTTAGTGGCAAATAACAATTTGCAAAAACGTGTCTGTAGCTGTTAGAAAGTTGTATGACTGTCATGATCTGTTCTTATCAAAGGACAAATGACTTGGCAAAAAACATTTGTTACATACTACAAAATGAATAGTAAAAACATTTGTCTGATCACTACAGAGACTCAAAGAGCATTTTGTAACAAATTTAGTGGCTGAATCTGCAACTTTTTTCCTTTTTTTTATTCCTGACTTTGTACTGTGTTGTCACGATACTGGAATTTCTAACTTTGATAACCTTGAAAAATATTGATATTTGATACCATTTCAGTACTACAGGGAAGCATTTACATTGAAGCCATTTGTTTTTTTTATTATGAGAAAAATACAACAAGGCTATAATATGAGAATAACAACTTTTGTTTTCTTGGTTAGTAGCAGGGAACATCAGAATGACTGCAGTAAACATTAACAATTGGAGAGAGCAACGAAGCACAGCCAGTACTGGTGTATTGATACTGCAGAAAATTAGTTTTGAAACAATTTTAAATATTCTGAATTAATATGAATCAATGAATCATTTTTTTTGACAACACTATTCAGGATAAATAAAAGTTGTATATTATCACTCTTTTCTTATGTTGATACTTTACATATTTTTTCCAAGATTATTAATGTGTTTATTATATTAGCTAAATTATATCATATAGCATTTTAGCGACTGATACAGACTTTCTTGATCACAGACCTGATGAAGACATAAAATCAGAATGTTGTAAAGCTTTTTTAGGAGCATCAATACATTCAGCCAGATCTCTCTAGGAACTGTTTCTAGATACAGAAATGGCTTTCTTAGGAAAATGTTCTGTTGGAGATAAGATAAGACATATTTTCACTGCAGTGGCAGGTTTTAAGATAGTATGTTTTTTTAGGAATCAACTATAGACAAAAATGATAAGTGGGTGATTTTTTGCGGTGAACAGGTTGGCCTTTAACTTCCTCTCGCTCTCTTTGTTTAATGTTTACGGTCCCTCTCTCCGTCATCCAATGTATTCTGGTCCTGTCGAACCTTGACTGTGCCTGCTCTCACACAAAGAAGCTAAGTGAGTGTGTGTTTTTCTGTGTGTGTATGTGTTCTTGGAGGCTGAACAGGGAGCGCTGCTGCTGCTTCTGCTGCTGCTCCTGAGGCGGTTTTGTTGAAATAAACCTGCCCCATCTCTCGCCTGTCATTTACAAAAACTGAGCTAACCTGAGGTGAGCAATGTAAACGGCATCTGGTGGCAACAGCCAGCCAGCGTGCCGGTGCAGAGAGAAAGAGAGAAAGGGAGAAAGGGATGCGCTATTGTCTAAAGCTCACTGAAATGCAAGACGTAACTCATAGATTTGTCTTCCTTAAGGAGATCACAGATATGGTCCAGAGTCAATTTAACGCGCTGTTTGTTAGCTTTAGCATCATCTGTTCATTACAAACACAAAGGACATCGTCAGTTCCATCACGGATATGAGTGTGTGTGAGAGCAGCTGTCCATCTCCTGCTTTTGATAAGACACAGTAAACACAATAGCATCAGAATAATGAATATGGGCAATATACATCTAATATGCATATATATAGCCGCCTGTGTCAATGAAAGACAGAGGCATAGACAATGAAAGGAGAAGATAAATAAAACGTTGATCTATTCTGTCCTACTTATCTGCAGCATAAATCTGCCTTTCGGCCACCAGGCCCCCGCAGCTCATCTAACCAAAGAGCCAATAACCTTCAGGTGGTCGGAATAACTGAGATTTAATAAGCAATTCCAGCAGGCATTATGAGAGGCCGTCAGTGGTCATGGTTGTTCTTTCTCCACCAAGTGATTCGGAAGTGA